GTCCGTCCATCATGCAGGGGGCAAAGACCCTCAGAAAAGTGAGGTAAAAGACTTCTGGGGGGCAACAGCCCCTTTGGAGCGTCTGGAAAAGGTACAGGGAGCCCATGAGGGGCTATGGAGCGAAATGGAGGTTGGCTCAGCGGCCCGTCATATCGTACAACTGAGCTTGGGCTCAAGTGAACTTTACATCAAACATCGGAGAAGGAGGGGCTCAAAGACCCCCTAGTCAGCTTGGATCGAAAGGACAAGAGTGTCCCTGTAGCTTGTACTCACACCGTCTCTGCAAGGACAAGGTCACAGGGAATCCCCCGCAATGTAGCGGGCCGAAACGAAAAACGGACTTGGACGAATTACGAAATGCGAAAAAACTATCTGGGCCGCTCACTTTTCAAGGCTGCTCAGACAGGCGTAGTGCTTGCCCACAGGTAACCCTGTTCAGTAGTCCTCGTTCTGCTCACGACGATCTTCACCAGCTCGCCTACGGTCGGGTTGCCAGTCCCCGGCGCGCCTCTTGTCCCTTCTATGCGACCGGTAGTTCTGCTTCTGTTGTGTCCTGTATCTTCGCCAGACCATAGCATCTGTCTCAGAGGCGGAGAGGCGGGTGATGTCCCCATCTTCAAAGAGTTGCTGTAGTCGCCGTCGCTGTCTTTCCGTGAGGCTCGGGGGGGGTCCATCCGGTTCTGTAGGTAGTGCGTGAAGGGGATCATCCCCTATAGGTTCTTCTTTTGCCTCACTTTTGACTTCAAGGTCACCGGCCTGGAGGTCGCGGAGGTCTTGCAGGTGTTCTCCGTATTCCCTGTCTGCTTCCCTCTGCATTGGACTAGACAGCAGAGAGAGGCTCTCCCCTGCGACGTAGCTGTCCGTCTGTTCCTCCTCCTTGCATTCGTAAGGTTGCTGGAGGGGGCGATGTTGGTCGTACTCCTCGGGGTCCACGTCGAAGATGTCGATGGTAGGGTGAAGTCCAGTTGAGGAAGCCGCCTCCGCTTCGTCCTGAGGGTTGTTGGTTCCAGGGCTTTCGGGGCCTTCCCCGGCTGCAGCTTCAACCTTTTGGCACACAGGTGTCTTCAAAGTCC